ACTGTGAAAAAATTAGTTAAAAATATTTCACCTCCATTGTTAAGAGAAATATGGCACCCCAAATACCACTGAATTAGTTTAAAACCTTGCAGCTTCAGGTAAGATGCCACAGTTTGGATTTTGGTCTTAAATGTTGCAGAGGTAGCTTTAAAGATTGGAATTTTTTTTTAAAGAAAATGGTTAGAAAATGTCTTGTCCCTAATTCATAATAAGAATATTTGAGAAGCCTTATAGTGCTAGAGAAATAAAAATGAGACTTATTTTGATAAAGACTTGTTACAAAAAAAGGCGCTAAAGGCTTCAGAAAAAAATCAAGAGCTGCAAATGAAAAAGGCTACATTTATATAAGATTTACAGCAGAGATAAAAAATAAGGAACATACCAATCTAATCCAAGAGCATGATATAAATAAGATTTCATACAAAGTAGCATTACGCATTCTTTCTAAGAATGAAAACACTGTTGGATTTCAATGAGCAATGGACAAAATAATTTTTTGCTGGATCACTTTTCTGGACTAGTGGTTCTACAGAAACCCCTGAAACTTTACTATTTCCAAAATAAGCAAAAAGTGATGGTAGGTTTGAAAGGGAAAAAATAAGTTAAAATATAAGAGCAGACAGTCTGCTTAGAATATTTCATTTATTTCCATATGTCCAACAGAGTTGAAAATTATTCACTGGGATGCACTTCTCAGAAAGGATAGGAAAACTCTTTTTTCACTAATGATAAAAACCGAATGTCCTTAGGAACAGGATGGAATGAATGAAATATGCAAGTCTATGATTCTAATTCCTGACCCAAGTCATGGTATTTTCAATCACTTCATACACTTGTGAAAGTTGAACAACAAATAAGAAAGACTGAAGAACTGGTGCATTTGAATGACAGGGTTGGCAAAGAATACGAATATGCCATGGACTTCCAGAAGAATGAATGAGTTTGTCTTGGAAGAAATATAGCCAGAATGCTCCTTAGAAGTGAGGATGTCTCTTGAGCTTCGGGTACGGTATCAGGAGAGAAGAATATCATGATTGGTAAAGTAGACAGTTGGTAAAAAAGAGGAAGACCCTCAAGGTGATGGACTGACACAATGGCTCCCTCAATGGACTGACACAGAGCAACTACTGTGAGGATTGCACAAGAACAGGCAAAGTCTCATTCTGTTAGCTGTACATGTACTATGAGTCAGAACCAACTACACAGCACCTAACAACGACAAGAAGAAGTGTCTGAAAGTTCTCAAGGATCCCTGTATTAGCAATGATAATCTCATTCTTTCTATTCCCATGTTACTGTTGTTAGGAGCTGTCGAGTCAATTCTGATTCATAGTGACCCTGCATAGGGTTTCCAAAGAGCAGCTGGTGAGCTTGAACCACTGACCTTGCAGTTCAAACCATCCTTGCAGTCCAGCACATTAACCCACAGCACCACATCAGGACTCCCATAAGGTACCTTAAATTTTCTTAGTCACCTGATATACAAATATAAGTTAGTTTTATCATATTAGCTGCCTGCTAGAGTTTTTTAATCAACAGATCTTAATTCTATCCAAATAATCAGAGAAGCTGGGTTAAGTGAAGAAAAATATGGCATCAGGATTGGAGGAAGTCTCATTAACAACCTGCGATATGCAGATGATACAACCTTGCTTGCTGAAAGTGAAGAGGACTTAAAACATTTACTGATGAAGATCAAAGAGCACAGCCTTCAGTATGGATTACATCTCAATGTAAAGAAAACAAAAATCTCCACCACTGGACCAATAAACAACATTCTTATCAATGGAGAAAAGACTGAAGTTGTCAAGGACTTCATTCTTCTTGGATCAAGCATCAACACCCATGGAAGCAGCAGTCAAAAAATCAAATGGCGTATTGTATTAGGCAATTCTGCTGCACAAGACCTTTTTAAAAGTGTTGAAGAGCAAAGATGTCAGCTTGAGGACTACGGTGCGCCTGATCCAAGCCATGGTATTTTCAATAACCTCATATGCATGCAAAAGCTGGACAGTGAATAAGGGAGATTATAGAATAATTGATGCATTTGAGTTATGGTTTTGGAAGAGAATATTGAAAGTGCCATGGGCTTCCAAAAGAAGAAACATATCTGTGTTGGAAGAAGTGCAGCCAGGATGCTCCTCGGAGGCTAGGATGGTCAGACTTTGCTTCTCCTACTTCGGCTATATTGTCAGGAGGGATCAGTCACTGGAGAAGGATATCAGGTTTGGTAAGATGGAGAGTCAGAGAAAGAGGGAGACCCCCAGTGAGATGGATTGGCAAAGTGGCAGCATCAATGGGCTTAAATGTGGCAACAATTATGAGGTTATCCCAGGACCAGGCAGTGTTTCGTTCTGGTGTGCTCAGGGTCGCCATGAGTCGGTACCGACTTGATGGCACCTAACAACAACAATTCTATTCTAAATATGAAATTACATGCCAGTTTCTTCCAATACAGAGTTAATTAAAAAAAAAAACTCCTTATAAATGTTACATAGCTAGACTCACACTCTACACTTCCAAAGGTTTATAACACCGAAAAACTGAAATTACGGATTCATGTGTATAAAATGAGGTGCCTTTTCCAAGTATCGCCAATACCCAGTCTTTTCTGTAATTACCAATATCTCTGCTGCTGGAAATATCAGAGACCTTTGACTAAAACTCTTGATTCTGAGGTCCTCCAACAGAATGGAATGGTTCTAGAAAAGCTACATGACTCAGAGCCACTCAGAATCCAAAGGAAGAGGAAGAACCCTGGGTTTAGCCCACAAGTAAAGGCAACAGGCTATTTTCTAGTACCTTTATGTGATCATCTCTTTACCTCTATATAGCTCATGGACGCTGTTGAAACTTTTCGAGATGCAACAGATTTAGCAGATCCACCTTCAAAACAACACAAAAGGTTAGAACTTGTTGTGAATTTGTTGCTCAATGAAGTTGCTGTTGTTAGGTGCCATTGAGTAGGCACTGACCCATAACGACCCTATGCACAGCAGAATGAAACACTGCCCGATCCTAGGCCAACCTCACTATTGTTGCCACGCTTGAATCCATCGATGCTGCCACTTGTCCAATCCATGTCGTTGGGGGTCATCCTCTTATTCTCTGACCCTTCACTTTACCAAACATGATATCCTTCTCCAGCGACTGGTCCCTCCTGACAATATGTCCGAAGTATGAGAGACAAAGTTTGGCCATCTTGGCCCCCAAAGAGCACTGTGGCTGTATTTCTTCCAAAACGGATCTATTGGTTCTTTTGGCAGTCCATGGCACTTTCAATATTCTCCTCCAACACCATAACCCAATGAAGTAGCCACAGTAATCTCCAAAACAGCTGAGTCAGCACTCATACAAATGTAAGTCAAGGAGAGATGTTGATTCCTTAGACTCATTTAATCATCTCAATACCATGAACTATTTGGGAAGTATTCTAGTCTATTCTGCACAACAGAATACATGTCTACACACGGAAAAACACTGTGCAACATATGTGAATTATGTGCGTTATTTGCTACTGCTTTCAGAAGCAAGAGGCAAGAAATTTCACAGGTGCAACCATTTCTTTGCAATTTTGAATGCATTCCATTCCCTAGTACCAGTGTGTCAAAGGGCTATTATTACATGAAGCAAGTTTATGTAGAATAAGCTAGATAGAACAAATACAGAGTAGACATGTAACCTGAAAAATTCTAATTCTTCAGCCTTGATTTCAGCCCTGATCAAGATGTGAAAGGATTAGAGATGGCATAATCCATCTCTAATAAGCTGCTTTCCACTTTTAATAATTACAATTATGAATATTTAGAATGAGTAGATCTTCTGTACACTGATCTAAGTATTCAAATAATTAGCTGCATTTGCTTGAATGCACACTAAGTGTCTTTATTCTTAGTTGCAAAGATCATCGAGAAGTGTGTGTGTAGTGGCAATGACTGGGGTGTAAAGTGATTAGGAGAAAGCCATGTAAAGGAAAGACAAGGACAGAAGGAGAAAGTAAATAGATGAAAACAAAGATTTTAAAAGAAATTTAAGTAGTCAGGATAAGTGACTAATTAAAGGTGGAAAAAATAATTGCTTACAATTTGTATAAAGCAATCATACCCATTTAATACTCTGACATGGCAAAGAGGTATGTAATTATAAACAAGACCATGGAAATAAAAAGTTGTCTCTTAATTAAGAAAAACAACAGAGAAAAGTTACGGAAAATAGGAAGAACTGTACCACAGATATACAAAGATAATTGGCATGTCCCCAGAGGGCTGAACAATGGCCTTTATTTGAGAAGGGTCTACAATGACCGTGGTTAGCGCTTCTATTTTCTGCATGTCTAATCACAGAAGGCAATCAGTGTCTGTGATGAGGAAGATCTTTGAAGAACATAATTATGGACTGCAAGTGTTTTCTGTGGAAACAACATTATCACTCAAGTCTGAGATTGTGTAAATATGACTTAATTTTGGTCAATAAAAATATGAACTTTAGAAGCCCAAAGTCTTCTTATAAATCACAAGTAAATGGCAGAGATTAGTGTGTGAAAGCAAAGACATTCCAGATATTCCAGGGGGAAAAAAAAGCTACTTAATAGAAAATTATCTGTTCTGTAGTGACATGATTTGGCCTACCTCCATGTCAAAACCAGCTCACAACTTCAAAAAGCCACATTAAAGGAGATTTCAACGGAGCAAAGCTAAAGTAGTTTTCATCTACCAGGTTGGGTATAAAAATAATCACAATTTGCATTACTTTAGAAAGACTGGCAATCTTACACAAATTAATGGTGTGTCATGCACAGATGGAAAGTGGATATAAACTGAGGAGAAAGAGAAAAACCACATCAAGGCTGCCTACGGAAACATAAAAGCTTTCAAAGCTATGAAGAAGTCTCACCTTCTCTCTTGTACCTTTAATTGTGAGGCTGCAATAGTGCATTTGCCACATGCTTTTGAAAGAAAAAAAAAAGACGTAGTTATTTGCTTAAGTACTAACAGACTTACTTCTCTTTCAGAAAATCCACTACTCTTTTGAAGTCAGCCACACAGTATTCTCTCTTCATTTCCATGAGGACAGAGTCAGAGGCAGACTGGACGGGTATGTGCAGAAAGGCATAGACTCTGGGATGATTTAAGATTTTCGCCATTTCCTTTAAAAAGAAAAAAAAGGAAAGAGAAAGCATTAATAATTTTAACAAATCGCTATGGGTCGGAACCGACTCGACGGCACTTAACAACAACAACAACAACAACTCACTCATATCAGTCCTCCCTAGTGCAAACAAATCAACATATTGTTACTGTTGTTAAGTGCCATTGAGTCGGTTCTGACTTACAGCGACCCCCCCCTTAGAGGGTTTCCCAGGAGTGGCTAGTGGATTTGAACTACCAACCTTGTGGTTAGCAATCCAGTATTTATCCTACAGACAAGGCTCTGAAAATGAATGTTAATTCTTGAACAACAATTAGAGAATTTGATACTGTTTCTGAATATTCCACTTAAGAATTGTTTTCTCAGTCACCATTGATTGCTCTTAGGTGACAAAACAGAAAAACAAAAAAACAAAAAACATACATGTCATGCTTAAAGATTATGTTGTGTCTTGTTACATTAGCAGCAGAAACAATATTTAATATAAACAGTAGATGCTTCATAATCCTGTGTACTTGAAAAGACAACCAGAAAAACAAATTTGTTGCAGTGACGTCGATCCCAACTCAGAAGGACTCTATAAGAAAGAGTGGAACTGTCCTATAGGGTTTCCCAAGCTGTAACATCTTTATGGTGTGGCGCTGTGGGTGAATGCGCTGAAGGTCAGCGATTTAAGCTCCCTAGCAGCCCCGGGGAAACCCAATACAGGGCAGCTATGGGCTGGAACTGACTCTATGGTACTTAATAACAACATCTTTATGGAAGCAGACTGCCACATTTTTCTCCCACAGAGTGATCGGTGGGTTTCGAACTGCTGACCTTTCTTTCAGTTAGCAGCTGAATGCGTAACCACTGTGTCTTCACAGTTTCAACTTGGGGAAAAAAAAAAAAAAAGCAAGTTTCAGAATTTAGCATAAGTCAACAACTTTTTTTTTTTTTAATGCAGAGGAGGATAAAAAGAGGAGTCTATAATTCACTTGCTTCTTTTTCATATTTCAGTTTCTCTTTATTTTATGACATACATTGTTGAGTCACAATCAATGTGACAGCAGTTGGCACTGTGGGGTATACAAGGTGCGGTTCCAGATGAGGGGCCAGCCAGCTCACCACGGGTCCACTACTGACATCAACCTTTAAGTGGGCGAGCTCAAAAGAGGGAAGAAACATCTACCTTGAAAAGATAAAAGTGAACAAATTTAAGTGAAATAAATTAGGAAATTCAAGAGAATGCTTTAAAACCTCTCCAAAGATACAAAAAGAGCCAGCAAAGTCCAGCTGTGGGAGCTGGGTTTATTTCACCTTTCTCCACGGCTGTGGGCTGTGGGGTCATCAGTTTGAGGGAGAGGGTAAGAGAACATGCAGAGAGTCCAACAGTGGTCAAAATGCCAAGAAAGGGACTGCTTTTTAATAGCTTGCACGTGCCCACTGATTTTTAAGTTTTCAAAGTACTGAACTTTCGTATCTGTTATTTCATCATTTGAACACTCTTTTGAGAGATCTTATGGAGTCACAGAGCCCGCAAATTCCATGCAATTATTCAGGGGTCAGCCATGAATATGAATCAACCATGACCTTTGTTTCTCCGTTTTCTTTCCAATGACCATGAACTGTTAACATGTTACTACACAAAGAACCCAGTAATCTTTTGAGTAGCAGCTTTGGTTGTTTTTTTAAAAAGCCTTTTGAAGAAGAAACCCAAATTATTAAATGGAGTTACTCGTGGGAATCTTGTCTTCATACATTCTCTACTTGGAATGAAAAGGCATAAATATATATCTTGTTATTATAATCAATTGGAATTTGTGCTAAGTAGAATAAGGATTAACACATGATTGAGAGACTCCCCTGTTAATGCTTCTTGGCTGGATATTTAGTCAGTAGACTTTTCGTATGCTTACTCAGCATTTAACTGCATTTAACACTGTGTGAGACAGAGCAACATTTACTTTTACATACCCTATGATAAATGCGGTGGCCTTTTGCTAGGACTCCCAGCCTTTTAGGTTTTTCACTGCTAAAAATACAGACTCCCAAAAACTCCAGAAAAACAATTGTACAAAGATCTTTGTTTTCTAAAGGGGTGAGACTCTCAGTCTCAGACAATGTTCAAATAATCTACTGTGGTAGAAATGACACCTTAAGACACAGTTGTTGTCATTGCTGTTAGCTACTGTTGGTTCAGCTCCTAATCATGACGACAGATGGTAGTGATCCATAGGGTTCTCACTGGCTTATTTAAGGAAGTACATTGCCAGACCTTTCTTCCTACTTCAATTTAGAGTATAAACTCTGCTGGAACCAGTTCAACATGCAGGCCTCCACATTCTGTAAAATGACGCTTCATTACTAATCTCAGCTTCGTTGCCTAGTTTCTATAAAGTGGAAATAGTGAATGCACATCATAGATACATTGTGAGACTAAGATAACCTAGGGTGTGTTCATATAGTAAGCACTCAACTAGTAAGTATTTAAAGCTCCTGGTAACATAATTTCATATTGATTAATGGCAACCTATCAGTAAATAGGAGTTCTGGTGAGTTAATAAGCATTGGTCTGCTAACTGCAAGGTCAGCAGTTCAAACCCACCAGTCACCCTGTGGGACAAAGATGAGGCTGTCTGCTCTTGTAAAGATTTACAGCCTCAGAAACCCTAAGGAGCAGTTCCATTTTGTCCTGTAGACCACTATTACTCAGAATTGACTCAAATGTAGTGAATGTGTTTTCTTTTTGGGTATCGATAACTAGCTTTTCAATGAGCTGACTCCCTCACTAGCATTAGAAGGAGAAATAACTTGTACTAACTGCTTTCAAATAAATTCAAAGGGAGTTTACCAGCAAATATGACCCTGAGCCAGAAAGGGTAGCAGTTCCTCTTGGAAACACTTAGGGTGGCCTACTACTATAAACAGGACACAGTACTAGATGAAACATTCCCCCTTTGCAGTGCAATTTACAAATTAAAATGTTAGTAGCAAACAAGGATAAATCCAGTGGTTGTTTTCTTTTGGTTCTCAACTCTTCCTACTAGTAATTACCTTCAGCTTCACACTACAGACTTTGCAAATTTATGATGTTAGGTACTAGAACACAAAATAAAAGTACACTTGCCCCTTAATTAAAGCCTATGTTTCTGCTACAAAAAGAATCAAGATTTAACACAGATTAAGGTCTCCCCAAAGGAGCCGTGGTAATGAAGTAGTTACGCATTGGGCTGCTAACTTCAAGGTCAGCAATTCAAATCTACAAGGTGCTCCACAGAAAAAGATGAGGCTTTTTGCTCTTGTGAAGATTTATAATCTTAGAAAACCTATACAGGGTCGCCACGAGTTGGAACCAACTCAACAGGCACACCACCACTGCCACCATCAGTGTACCCCAGATGGAGCCCTGTGGTGCGGTGGTCAAGTGTTCAGTTGCTAAATGAAAGGCTGGCAGCTCAAACTCACCAGTGGCTCTGAGGGAAAAAAGAGCTGGTCAGCTACAGCCTAGGAAACTCAGTGGGGCAGTTCCACTAGTCCTCGAGCATCTCTAGGACTTGGGATCAATCCAATGGCACACAACAACAAATGTACCCTAAAGAACCAAAGTACTTAGTTTTGTTGTTTTTACTCCTATCCTTCTTCTCATTTAGCACTCTGGGTACAGAACTCTACTCTCTCCTCCACCTTTCATCCTCCTTGTATTTATAAGGCTCAGCATGTAGTTATAGGTTCTCTTGAGGGAGTGATGACATCTTCTATGATTCCGCAGTAATCTGTTCCTGGTGTTACGACAGTATTTACTTACTTCTACCTTGCAACAGGAGTCCTGATGTGGTGCTGTAGGATAAGCACTGGACTGCTAACTGCAAGGTCAGCCGTTCAAACCCATCAGGCGCTCCGCGGAAATCCTACACAGGGTTGCAAGGAGTTGGAACCAACTCAATGGCAGTAAACAACAACAATCACCACCTTGCAACAGGGTTCCTGGGTTTGTAAAAGGTTAGTGCAGTCAGCTGTTAACCAAAAGGGTCGAGGTTTAAGTCTACTCAGAAGCACAAGGTCTGAAGAGCTACTTGTGAAACACAGCCATCAAAAACCCTAGGGGACACAGTTCTACTTTGATGCACAGGAGTTGTCATGAATCAGAACCAGCTCAAAGGCAACAGGACCAGACCTTGCAATAGATCCCCTTAGACTAAAAGCTCCATGGGCAGGGAGTATGTTTTATTCCTCTGGACTGAAACTTAACAACAACATACTTCATAATAAACTATAATCTGAGGAGGTTTTCTGATTGGTAACTGCCAATCTAAATGTAATTGCATCTGCATGCAAATATTAATATAGTTTATACACTTTCACATCCTGAGTAACTTTGTCAAATGGGTAGTGTACAAGCATAGATTCAAAACCATGTCGTGTATGATGATTAATTTAATGACAATTGGGTGATAAATATGAAATGTGAAAATTCATTTTAAAAATGTGTCCATACATAGCACTGATTTTTTTTTTTTTTTTTTTTTAATGTTAAGTCTGTTTCCATTTACTTTGGTTTATTTCCTCTCTCCTACAACAAGAAGCCCTGTGTTTCTGTAGGATAAACACTGGATTACTAACCACAAGGTTGGAAGTTCAAACTCACTAGTCCAAGATTTACAGCCTCAGAAACCCTATATATCAGGTCACTCTTGGTTGGAATTGACTCAATGGCAGTGGGTCATTGTTACGATATCTAGGCCAATGCTAGGTACATCACATCGACAGACATTGAAATAGCAATCAAGGTTAAGATCATGTCAACAGACAAAGAGATTTAAAATATAACTGCTACTTGATAAAGTTAATAATTTGTTCAACTAATTCAGTTTGGGTGTAGCAGGCAAACACACATATATTGTGGCATGTTTTAATTTTTGAACAAGTGACAATACATAAATATAAAAGTAAAGACACAAAAAAGTCACAATCAAGATACTTTATAGGTAGTCCCACCAGAAGTTCATATTTCTTAAA